TTTAGGTTAATCTTTAAAATCAGATCACAAGTGTTTGAATCTCTTAAAGGGTAAAAACTAGCAATGCTGCCATCCCAAATAATAATATGACTAAAATTTCATTTGGCTATGTGCTATACTGTTAAAAGAACAGCTAAGGGATACGAATTGTTCTTTCATTTTAGAGAATTACCTTTGAAGTCAGTAATTCAAAAATTTACCTCTCATGTTTTAGCCAAAATACATCTCTGAAATACACATACCTGAGCATATATTATTTTTAAAAAGATCTTTATTTAAAACTGATTAAATTATCCAGTCAACTACTGCCTTCAATATTCCATATACTCAATGATGTTTATTTTTAAAAAGGCAAGTTTGACATTTTCAAGCACTAAAAGTCAGGAGTTGTTTTGTCTATGTATTTTATAAGATACAGAACTAGCAGTATTGTGCACACAAACATTTTTGTATGAAGAACTGTAGTTTTATCCTATTAGTTGTTAATATGTCATTAATCTGGGCCTTCATGGCAACTGTAGAGATAACAGTATATAATCAGTACCAGAGTCACTTATTTTTGGAATTAGGCTGGGGGAAATGACCAAGCGGTTGATCAGGAGAATTTTAAAGCAAAGAACCCATGTTAAGTGTAAAACAAGTAACACACAGCAGGAGAAGGAGAAGGAAGGAGAAGGGTGATGGGTTGCTCTGTGGACATTCAGAAAGCCTCTGAAGGGGATGGAGCTTTGTGAACAACAAAAGTAAAGGTGCAATCTTTATTTTGCAAATGAAACCCATCGCTATGTAATAGAGAAACGGCCAGAGAGAAATCCCTTGTTTAAAAAATAGATTTTATTTTTATGAAAGTTAGTTATACAACTATAGTTTAAAAAGTCAGAAAATTACACAAGTCTTATTAGGAACAAGAGTTTCCTGTCTCCTACTCTCTATTTCTCACTTCCCAGAGGCCACTATTTTCAACTTTTGTAGCTGTTTCTGTATTTGACTTCATACCACTAAATAACATGTTACTTTTGATTTTTTTCAGTTTTAGGTTTTACCTCTTGCCATGCCAGTGGAAGATGATGATTTAGTTCTCTTCTACTACCTGTTAAACACACACTCAAGCAAGCCTTCCTTCCAGCTACCTTTCCAATATGACTGAATTAAAATTTTTGGTTAGCTCAGTAGTTTTGAGTGTCTACATTATTATTACTTTCTAAATGCTATTTGTAGCTGGGCCATATAGGCTACTACAGTGCATTTCCTTTCTTGCCCTATTTGTTTTCCTTGGGGTTAAAAAAGGTCTATTTTTGTTTGTTTGCTTAGTTTCCTATAGACTTACAACTAAATCGTCTACCGAGTCTCTATTTTAAGTCTCCTGAGTTGCTCTAGTTTAGTTATTTTCTAAATAGGCTGTCACTCTAGATTTTTTCTTCAATGTTCTCCAGCAACTCCCATCACCTCTCCCTCTGGCTAGATCCCTGTGTGTTCTTTCTTCGTTTTATACTCTTGTGTTGGTGGAACACATCCTCTAGGAGCTTTCTGAGAAAGGATGGATGAGAGCTAAAGTTTGAGACCTTTCATGACTGAAAATCTCCTCATGTTACCATTATTAACATGAAGAGATTATAGAATTCTAGGTTGGAAATCATTTTCCCTCAAAATTTGAAGTTTTGTCTTTTAAATTCTAATGTTGTATAAGGAAGCTTGCATCGATTCAGCTTCTTTACCAATTATTTGTTGTATTTTTGTTTTTTTTTCGGAAATTTTTAGAGTATATTTTGGGCTCCTAATGTTTTAATATTCCATTATGATGTACTTTCATGCCAGTATTTTGCCTTATGCATTTGAATGTATAGAAAGGTAGGCCACTTCAAACCAGAAACTCATGTCTTTTACTTCTGGGAAAATTTCTTAAGTTATTGCTTTGATAATTCTATCCCTTTCATTTTCTCTGTTTTTTTTATTTTTTTATTTTTTTTATTTCTCGAATTTGTTTCATTCGAATGTTAGATCTCCTGGATTGATACTCTACTTTTCTTATTTCTTTTCTCCTATTTACCACTTGTCTTAAAAAAAAAATTCCTCTTGCCTAGATATTTGACTATTCCCAAAGTGACTGTGGAGTTTTGGTTTTTTACTTCTGTCATATTTTCAGTTTGCAGCACATGGCACCTCTTGCTCTGCGTCCGTGCAGTAATCATCCTTTTTCCTTTTCAAGTTTAGTTAAATGGAAGATGGATGCAGGAGTCAGATGGAGAATATGAAAATATTATTATTATTATTGGTAAAACCTATTGGGGAACACGGATTTAGATCTGCTGCCAAAAGGGCTGCTTGTTATTACTTTCCCTCAGAATTAGGCAGAGTCATCCATCTAATCACAGATAGTGCTGTTCAGCGGCACCGTCTCCTCTGAGACAGGCCCCTTACCATATGACAAAACTCACCCATAACGTAGGCTCTCTGCAAGCAGACAAAGAAAGGAAGAAAGGGCAGAGCGTGTGCCCAGTTTTTTCTTTCAGACTCACCAATCAGACAATTCACTCCTTTTCCTCCGGGGAGTGGAGAAAGGAGGCATAAATGAAGGCACATTGAGAGGTGAGGACTGTCATCTTATAAGTTTTCTCCAAATGGAAACTCGAGACTGGGGAAAGGTATGCATACCCCCCTACTCAGGTATGCTGCCTGAAATGTTTTTGGTTCTCTAAATCGACTTCCATAGCCACCCCTTTGCCCTTCTCTCTGCATTCTTAGAGTGATTGCAAGAATGTGCTGCAGTAGTGAGAAGCGTCTTACAGAAGACACTGTGGAAATCAGGTAGTGGAGGATGACATAGGAGATTGTAAGGTCTTTGGCAAGTTGGAGAAAATTAAGCAGAATGATGAAAAGTCTATCCAAAAACTTAGAATCACACTCACTCCCCTTTCAGAATTGTATTTGACCAAAAAATTAATATTTATGTATTCAAGTATACTTAAATACAACAGAAACTATCTTAATTGATCTCCACATAAGCAGTTTTCAAGATTAGCTGATAATCTCTTTTTCTCTATAAACCTTATTGATTATTGGTGAGTGTTGGCATCTAACACACTTCTCCTGAGTATGCCTGTACACTGCTCACACTTGTCCATGTACTTACCAAGAGCTGTCCCCAAATCTGTTTATGCCAGTTGTGCTTATTATTTTAAGTATGTAATTTAATAAGTTATGTAAACTGATGAAACATGAGTAGGAAGAGAAAGTTATTTTAATGAAAACTATTTTAATCTTCTGATGGACTGTATAAAGGCAAGTTGCTAAAAATACTTGCTGTTGAATTAGGCTTGAATGAAACAATCCTAAGAGATTAGAGAATATCCTGCAAATTAAAGGGATTTGGTACAATGACTGTTTTGCCATCATCTTTAAGTACTTGCTCTAACTTAAACTGGACTATGATGTGTTTTATGGGTTTGTTTTATGCAAGAGAAACAATACACTGTCCATGAACTTGGAAGTTAGGGGATCATTTTGAGAGTTAAAGCACATGGTCAACACACAATGGATGAGGTCTAAAATAATCAAAGTCTGCTCAGTTAGACACAGTGCCACTTGGGTCGCTCTTGCTCAGTCCAAGTAGGTACTGACATTTAAAGAAAGAATGTGTCCGTCAGAAGGGACTGGTCTTGATGGCAATGGGGATAGAGAGAAGGAGATGGGCCAGGACTATAAAAATAGAAGAAGAAGTGACAGAGAGGCCAGTGTTGGGCAGAGCCCAGCTGGGACTTAGGGAAGCTTGTACTCTGGCCTGAAGACTCAGCCTTTTCAGTCTGGGGCCAGGTATACATCTCCTACATGGACACTTAGAGTTATCAGGCCCAGATGACCTTGGATGCCTGAATCCTCTGGCTGACATCTCTGATTCTGATTCAGTTAGCATGTCTAGGTATATGTTGACATGTCCATGACCATTTTGGTCCTCATTGAATTTAAATAATCTGCATTTCGGATTACTAAAAATATCCGAATTAGGTTATTGTGACTCTGTCCTCAAGCAATAACTCCACTCTTTATGTGCTGACAGAATCAGATGCTGCATCTGGGGACTATGATTCTGGACTATAATCAATTGATCAAAAAATGATCAGGGCCACCCGGCAGATAGTCTGTCCGAGCCTACTGGATCCTCCTGGAAATGCCCACTCTTGGAATCCACACTCTTCAAACTTGTCCAGACTTAGCCCCTTCTTGGCTGATTTGTGGAATACTTTGGCTCTTTTTTCATTTAAGGGTCCAAAATTGAATCGGAGCTAAAACAAGGGTCTAAGTCATAATGAGTAATGAGTTTCTTAGAAAGCTTCCTTACTGAGGCATCTTGGAATTTGACTACATATCCCAAATTTATATTTCCAGGCACAAACAACAGCTACTTCTAAAGAGTTATAGCTCTTTAGGAGTTTTGTATTGTTTAAGAAACTCATTCTCCGAAGCTTTTAGCCTGTACACGGAACCCGTTTGCAGTATGAAATGTCAGACTCATGACCTAACACTCTGAATGAATGTTGCAGTAAACGAAACATCAACAGGCGCCTGACCCTCCGTGCAGGTTGCCAAGGCAGCTCTGGCACAGCCCGCAGTTTGTTTTACGTCTTTCAGCACCCATGCTTTTACAAAGAGCACACACATCTCTGAGTGCTGGCATGCACGGTGATAATGCCGTGAGAGCATCCAGGCCTCTCAGGTCTCTCCTCTGTGCATGCAGCAAAACACAGTGGTCCTGTCATGGGGACCGAGGGTCAGCAACAATGATCAGATTAACTGGGTAATGGCCAGGTCCCCACTTCGCTCTAACCTGTAGCTATTATGAGGCTGGCAACAATATTCTGGAGCTGTTTAAACCTCTCCAATCCAACGGCAGAGGTATAAACAGAGAACTTGGGGAGGGATCTGGAATCTTGCTTCCTAGGTATGTTGAGACGGTTTGAGAAAACTTTCAAAATTCAGAGAGCAGAAAGCCTGTACCACTCACTGCATCCTCTGATTTGCCAAATGAAGGTTCTCCCTAAAACTATTCAGTTTGCTTTTTCGGGAAAATTTATTTATCAGGTTATTAAGTGTAAAAAGTAGTTGGCACTCCTCACTGTCTTATATTGGGTAAATATGGTGATTCATTTGTAATATTTTTTAAACTTTATTTTGAAATAATTTCACACCTTTGGAAAAGATGTAAGAAAGTATAAAAAAAACCCCTGTTATAGACTTTGCTTAGATTTTTATCAGCTGTTGACATTCTGCCACATATGCTTTATCATTCCAAATCTCTCCCTTCTTCCTCTCCTTCTCATCTCTTCCCACCTCCAGACATACACGCAGACGTGTCACACACAAATATTATTCTCTTTTTATGAACGATTGGAGGGTAAGTACAGCCATCATGTTCCTTTACCTCTAAATACTTATGTGTGTGTTTCTTAAGAACCATTCTTATGGCCGTTCACTTATACATCCACCATAGAATAATGAAAAGCAAGAACTTTAATGCAAAATGCAATACTATTATTTAATTTACAGACTTTATTCGAATTCTCCAGTTGTCTCAACAATGCCCTTATAACAAAGCTTTTACTATTTTTTAAGGTCCAAGATCCCACCCAGGATCACCCATTGCATTTAGTCTTCTGTTCCTCTAAGTGTCTGTTAGTCTAGAACATTTCTTCAGTCAGTCTTTGTTTTTCATGGAATTTAAAAGAGCATAGGCTGACTCTCCTACAGACTGTCTCCCAAGCTGGGCATGTGGCTGCTTCCTCCTGATTAGATTCAGGTTGCCCATTTTGACCTTTCGGGTCGTGGGTGTGTTACATCAGGAGGCTCTGGAGTCTGTTCCCGTGGTTAGTGACATTGGTTTCCATCCCTTGGTTATGGCGGCGTCCGCTAGGTTTCTCCACTGTACGGTTACTATGCTTTCCCTTTGTAATTCACACGTGATTTGTGATGAGATACTTTAGGACTATGTAAGTGCCCTGTTCTTTGTCAGACGACCCCACTGGCTTCAGTGCCCTCCCTGTGCTCTGAGGAGGGGCGGTTCACGTGTGTTGTTTATTCCTCCCTCCCCAGTGGTGATCATGTGTGCGAGCAGCGACACCATCCGGGGCATCATGCTGGCAGCGCACAGGCACGGGATGACCAGCGGGGACTACGCCTTCTTCAACATCGAGCTCTTCAACAGTTCTTCCTACGGTAACTCTGCGTCCCGTTTCCCCTCGCGCGGCTAGGGTGTCAGAAACGGGGTTGTGAGAAAGGGCCAGTAGTGTGAGTTACGTCAACGGATTTGATTTCCATAAATAGGATTTCAGAAGTTTGTGATTCTTAACACTCCCATGACTTCTCCTAAGTTCTCAAGCTTTTCTTCTCTGAGAACTCAATTAGAGCAAAATGACACCACCTACCTGTGATGCCAAGGGACCTGCCTCCAAATGATTATAAATCCAGGCCCCAAAGACCCCTCCCTAGGGCTTTTCCAACTGCAGGATGGACTGTTAGAGTAATTTTAGTGCGATTTGGGCAGGATTTTTCCTAGAATGGAATAGACTAGAACATATCAATGTAATAAAATAGAACACGTCAAAATGTGTCACACGTAGCATATGTATTATTTCATAAAACTTCTAGTAATATTATTGTATGTTTGTGTATATATATTTATGCATGTTACATATAGTTGTAATGGTCTCAATGTGAAATAAATAAAATAACCATTACTGTAAACTGAGGTAAAATATTTTGAAAGTCACTGCTCCCAGCCTCGCTTCATTTCAGGTTACTGACCCTTAAGCTTCTTCCATATAGAAGTTCAGAAGCCACCATCAACGTGTATGATTGAAAGCTTTTAATTTCTTAAAATGGATCTGGGGAAGTCCCCAGGGTTCCTATGATGGAGTGTGTCTAAGGACAAAATATTTTCCCCAAATGTGGCTAGGACTCTCTCTGAAGTAGACACGATCGGCTGTGGTACGTTTTCTCAGATACTGCATATTGTCAGTTTAGGGAGCTTGCAAGTGTGCATGTCACAATGGCATGTTTACACTGAGCTCCATTTCCCAGCTCTTGCTGTTGAGATATAGTTAAACAGGATCTAAACCTTACAACATCCATCTCAGTTTCCTGCTCTGATATCCTGGCTTACTTATAAACAGATAGTAAAACACACTTCTCATGGGCGTAAGGAAAAGTTGATGCTTCCTTGTAGTGGATACAATTGGAGTTTCGAGGCTCATAGGGTAAACACTCAGTGTTTTCTTCTTGCTGCCATGATCATCTTTCCCCTCTCTTTTCACAAGCAGAGTGGCGGCTTCGCTTCTTGGCTGCAATATTGAGTTCATTGAGATAGTGGTAGAGACCGGTTAAAAATGAAAAACATTTGTTCTGAATTTTGCAAGTTGGCAACTGCAACCGTAGAATTTAGAGGCAATGCGTGTGAATGCACATTATAAGTAGGCAAGTGCAATACAAATATTAGGCACTGAAATTCCTTTCATCCACAAATAAAGCTTATATTACTTTTCCCTGGTTATTAAAATACGTGAGTATTGTAGACAATTTGAGAAACATAGAAATAGATAGGGAAGAATTTCTTCATTTCATTATTCTATATTTTATGTTTTCTGGTTGTTATTATAATCACGATCTTTTCCTATTGCATTTTGAAACTATAGTTAGTATACAGAAAAGCAATGAGTTTTGTTTATTTTTTAAGAATTCCACATATTAATTCCTCTGTACCAATAGTTTTTATATCATTTTCAAATAATAACTACAGTTGTTTCTCCATTTTGATAATTGAACTATTACTTCTTTTTCTTATTGCAAGAGCCTCCAGAATAATATTCTATAATGCTGGTGATACTTTAATTTCTGACTTTTAATCTTGAAGTAGATGTTAAAGTATCCTTTTATTCCTAATTTATTAGTGTGGTTTTAAGTCAAAAATTAGTGATGAATTTTGTCAAATACATTTGACCTATAATTTTAATAAATTTCTTAATATTATTTTTAATAAATTTCTTGGAATTAAGTATATTTCTCACGATGATTTTTTTAAAGATGCATTTCTGATTTTAAGTTTTAATATATTTTTTAAGATTTATGAATCCACATTCATGAGTGAGACTGGACAGTAGTTTTCTTGTCTTTAGTTGGAATTTTAACATCAGATTTATATTAGCCTTATAAAATTAATTGGGGCACTTTCAATTGTTTTTATGCTTTAGAACAGCTTATAAGAATATTTCTTGAAAGATGGAAACAATCCAGCTCTGTATCTGGACCTAACTTCTTTTTAGAGGTAATTTTAGACGTACAGAAAATTTGCAAAAATTATATAGAGTTTACATATACCTTTTACCTAGATTCCTCTATGTTAACAATTTAAATGACAATAGTTCAATGATCAAAATCAGTACAATAGTACTAACTAAAGTACAGGCCTTATTTGAAATTTACCACGTTTCCTTTCAATGTGTATGTTATTTTTTCTTTTGATTCCAGGATTGAGTCTATTTAGCTGTCGTGTCTTCTTAATCTCCTCCAATCTGTCATAGTTCCCCAATCTTTCCTTGTCTTTTATGACCTGACACAATGAATCTGTTATTTTGTAGAATATCTCTCAATTTGCATTTATCTGGTGTTTTTACATGATAAGATTGAGTTTATACATTTTTGGCAAGAATACTACAAAAGTGACATGTCTTCATTGCATAATATCAGGGCATAAGAAGTCATATGTCCACATATATACATATACATATGTCACTATATATGACATTGGTGATTTTGGGACAACTTTTTAAAACTTATTTTTCTGAGTTTAGTTTTTCTGCTTCTTGAAAATTTAATTATGTAGTTATACAATGTGTTTTTATACAACCTACAAAGTAGCCTTGGTGTGTCTGATTAGATCCCCTTTTCTTTTCCCTTTTACAGCCTGTTTGCTCAGTTTGTGAACTCAGGTGTTAGTCTGCTTGAGAGACTGAGCCATGCACTAGCTCTTGGCAAACTGACATAATCCTCCCATCCCTTGCAAGCCTTAGTTTCCTCTAATGATAATAATGGTACTTACCTCATGGCATCGGGCTGAGTAATAAATGAGATGATGTATCTGAGATACATAGCAAACTTTTTGAGTAGTTAACAAATATTAGTTATATTTATTATTAGTTTTACTTTGACCATTATACATAGTACTTTAAAAATAAGTTAAATTTGTACATTTTTGCTGTGTGTAGTTTTATAGATTGATTTAGTCCATATATTGTTACCAGATTAACCAGATTTTATCTATTATATCCTAAGGGCTTGGGTGTGTTAGGAATGACATCTGCATGCAAATAACCAAGACTCCCAACACTAGTGATTAAAATGAATGTAGAGGTTTATTCTCTCACCTGTAAGAAGTACCAGGCAGGTCCTAGGCAGGGATGGTGGCTCCAAGTGTCATAAGGGATCCAAGCTTCTGCTTTTCTGCTCCCTCAGTCTTAGTGAACGGCATCCATTTTCAAGATCACAAGGTAGTGGCTAGGGCTCCTGGTATTGAGTCTTAATTCTCGGCAAGACAAAGGAGGAAGATGAGAGTCAAAAAGACCCTCTTCGCTGACCCGACCCTGTCTGGAAGCCCCACTCATTAACTTCTGCTTACTCCTAGTTGTAGGTAAACCAGAAAATGTGTGTTTGACTCACTGCTACTCCAAATCAACTTAGGAATCTGTTACTCAAGAAGAGAGGAGAATGGATGTTGGGGGTACACTGTCCATGTCTCCCACAGATCCTGATGTACCTTTTCTGCTCAGAGAAGAAGCGGTAAACAAACTCTTATGAATCAGAATATGTTCATGAAAAGTTCTTCAACAACCTCCTCATTCTGTGCTTCCTCACACCAAATTCTACCCATTCTAGAAAAAGGCTCTATTTTAATTTTTACTTGATATTGGATTTAAAAAAAAATAAGTGTCGCTATTTATTGATTGTTTGGTCTTCGTGAGCACTCAAATATATTCTCAGTTCTGCCCAAATAATATTGTTACAGGAATATATTATGACGGAATTCGATTGATGGAAAATAAGATCAAAAGGGTAGGTTTTACAAACTCTAGCGAGGAGATGATATGTATTGCCCTAGAGTTTTTAATGGCACTTATTGGCATTCTCATTTATTGGTATTATTTTCTTTGGATGTAAGTTAGGTAGAAAGTTATTCGGGCGATCCTCTCTGGGACTACTGAGATTATTGCAGAGTTTTCTGCCTTCCTGAGAACTCAGAGGACACTAATTAAGGTGAGGATGGAAGTATAGCAGAGATAGGTGATGCACATAAATGACTTGACTTGCTAAAAAACAGGAAAAACTGGGAAAAACAGAAGAACTACTGGGGAAGGATTGGATTTATTATAGTTTGCCATAAAAGTGATATATGTACATAAAAGTCAGTTTGGGAAAATGAGAATTTTGCATAATCATTCTGACACAATTCTGTCATAATCATTCAACGGTAACAGTTGTTAAACCACTGTTTAGATACTTTCTCTTCTGATTTTTCTTCCACTGTTACTTTTGCTTTTAACATTTTTGTCATCCCACCACATTTGCAGTTTTAAATCCTGGAGCATCTCAAACTCTGACGAAATGTATTTGGAGCCGGCGTGGCACCAGCGCTTGGAGGCTGGCTTGCATTTGCATCCTGCTTCTGTTGTTTGTTAGCTAAGTGACTCCGGGCATAATAATCTCCTTGAGCCTCAGTTTCCTCATCTGTGAGATGGGGATTATACTTAAATCTACCTTGTAGAGTTTTCATAGGATTAAAGAATGAAATGCTACAGGCAAAGCCTTTTGCAATGGTATTGCCCAGTAAGTGGTGCTGTTATTCCTGGTGGAAGTAACTGGACTAGCCTAGCTCATGGCAAGCACCTAGACATTTTGAGAAGGTTGGATGAGGCAAGAAGGCTGATGCTTTTCTTTCACTTATATGGCTACCAGAGGTTAAGAGTCATACTTAGTGCTATGCAAGCAGACTAGGTGAGCTTCAGGCATTGATTTTTTTGGGTATATTCTGTGATGTCTCAGGTAGTCATTCAGCCCACAGTTATTGAAGGCCTACTATGTGCTGAGTCCTTGGTAAGTACTGAGAGCTCCAGGATGACACAGTCATCCCAATGTGGGTACCATCCCTTGCCAGCACCAGCTCCCGGCCACAGGATTGCTGAGCACAGGGCTTGGTGCTGAGCAGGGTATTTCCTCTTTCACAAATATTCTATACCCTTCTCACTCTAAATGCAAGCTTGGGAGTCTATGATGTTTAAAACAAAACAAAGCGAAGCAAAGTGACTTTGCTTTCTCTTATTACTAAGACAACTGTTAAGAATTGCCTTCTCTTCCCTAGTTGTCCCTAGCAGACTTATTTCTCCTCTTAAGCCCCTTGTTCAGGACCATTGTAAGAATACGACATTAGTAGCCACCACTCCTCTGAAAGTGCTATCCTTAAGGTCACTGGTGACCTCCTCATCACCAAAGCCATTAGCTTTACGACAGACCAGGCCTCCAAAGCCGTGCTGTCCGGTGGAACTTCCTGCGGTGCTGGTTGCATTCTGTTCTGGGTTGCAATGGGGCAAGTATAACCGGGAAACTGAATTTTTAGTTTTACGTAATTTTAATTAAATCTAAATAATCACATATGTGGCTAGCGACTACTGTAATTAGACAGCACAGCTCTAGAGCATTCTAGAAGTTGTCTTCCGGTTTCCTGTTAACTTCTCTGTCTCCTCTTCTCCTTCTGTCCACTGAAAACAGTGTCCCCAAAGCGTCTGTGCTCAATCCTTCTCTCTTCTCCTCTGCACTCTCTTATCCAGTGCAATCAGTCCCTAATTATAAGCCACATGGAAATGACATCCAGCACTCTCTCGAGCCTTCACTTCTCTTTCTGGCTTTAGACCATTATTTCTAAGCCCAGCCCCCTGTTGCCATTTGGGTATTCCGTAGTCAGTCACCTTGGCTTGACCATGACCCTAAGTGAAATCAACCTAACCCCTCCTCCTCCATCCGGCTCTGCTCTTTCCTCTAATGACAACCCATTTTCCTTTCCTCTTTGCATCATTGGTGACGTGCCTCCCTCTCTGTTGTCCCTCACTCCCTAACTCTTCGGGAGTCTTGAGATTCCTCTGCTTTCAGCCTAAGGGCTCTATCTCTTTTTATGATTATAAAAGCAGTAAACATTTACTATTGAAAATTTCCTAGATTCAGACACACACACACGCGCACACACACGCGCACACACACACACACGGACACACACGCGTGTACACACACACACACACGCATGCACACACATGCACACACACGCACACACACACACACGGACACACAAAGAAAGAAAAGAGAAGAAAAGGGAAGAAAAGAAAAGAAAACTTGCTCAGGATTTTAAACACAGAGGACCATGTTTAATCTTGGGGGGTGTGGCTTCCCACATTTAACCTCTTGTAACCTCTTGCCTGGATTACTGTGGCTGTGAACCTTCAGCGTCTCCCCAGTCTGATCCACTGCTATTTCCCAAGGCCTGATTTCGGTCATGTCGTTCTTCTGTTCCACTCGTAAATCTTTAGAGGCACCCAGTTGTCTACTGAATTAAATTTGTCCCCACCGATGGGGTGTCATGCCAAGCCGACCTTTGCTTTCCTAGTGCTCAGCAGCCCCGTATGGGAGACGTCGCTGACACAGTACAAGGAAAACACCCACGAAAGCAGGAAATCATAGTATCCGTTATGTTGATGACCAGAAAACCATTTATTTCGGCTTAACTTTATTCAGCACGATTGCTTCTATTCTTTTTTCTAGAAAACAAAACTCAAAAGTTATTATCTTTTAGACAAATTTATTGTCTGGATTTTACTTCTTTCAAACAAAAACAAAAACAAAAACAAAAACGAAAACACAATTTTCCCATGTCAGTGACACAGACAGTTACTGTTTCCAGTTCTGTGTGTGTGCTCTAATTATACAGCATAGCACCCGACAGGATTAAGTATTTCCTGTCCTATGCCCCTGAGGAGAACTCTTTCTCAGAGCTGAGAAACACTGACCCGGTTTGCCTAAGAAATATCAACCCTACTAAGTCTTGAGAGCTCAAGGCAGTTAAAAATAAATCGATAAATATTGATTGCATCCCTGTAAGAAATGGGATCCTCCTTGGGATGAAGATGTTCTGGACATTCTTAGACTATCGAGTCTTCCTGGCAAATGGACTCGGCCCCTTCACAAAGGCCACACCGTCTGGGTCCTGCTCACCCAGATGGGTCTACCCTGGCCGATGGCGGTGATGCGAAGCTCTCTTGCTCTCCGAGCACAGGCATAGCTGCCGCTCACGCTGTGGCTTCATTGGTGTTTGGGAGGTTTCATATGGGAGGAGGAGGACTTTGTCAAGTTTTGTTTGGTGGTTTGAAATTTAATCTTGTGCTCTCTGAGAACAGATCTAGCCCTTAATGAATTCTTTGTCTTATTTATCTTTTAACAGCTCCCTGGCACACAGTAAACAATTAATGAACAGTTGCCATTATTAGGATTATGATTATACAGAAGCCTCCACAAACAAATTCTTTGTCTCTGGCTTTTCTCATGCTCCAGACCGAGGTTCCCAGCTGCCTACTGGATGTCATACACATTTGCACCTTTGCCAATGCCGTACGCTCTGCCAAGCGTACCGTTCCATCCTCCTCTCCTCCTATTAAAATCCTACTCACGCATCAGCCTGGTCCACACATGAAACCTTCCCTCATCGGAGCTGGTCCCCTCTTCCTTTACACTCTGCATTGTTTCTTTGTACCCCAAGCTTCTCTCACCCGTAGAAGCTAACTGGTACCCTGTAATCACCTTAGCTGTTTACATGTTCGTCTTTAAATCTCTCTCTTGAAGGTGGTGGGGACTGTTCCCGACACTTTTGATGTCCACTGTGGTGGCTATCACAGATCTTTGAACATAGTTTAGTTAATCCATGTTTGTCTGACTTAAGCTGTAGGAGAAATTCCAGGGCCACTAGCTCCTTACTGATTTTTTTCTTTAAGAGTAGGGCGAGTGCCCTGGCTGCATGCTCCAGAACCATCTTCACAGCTCAGCTGCTGGGCGCCCCGCACCAGCCAGGGACTGGGTGCTCGTTGCAAACCAGTGACTTTAGTGTTGGAGTTGAGTCCCTTGTTGCATTTCCGGAGATCTCCAGGGATCACAATGATAACTCACAGAAATAACAGCTTATTGTCAAAAGTCAGAGGCCCACATTTTCTTTCGGGGGCCCTGCAGGCCATTTGTTTTCTCAAAAATGGAATAAAGAGAAGAGTAATGATTCTTATCCATGTGCTTTGCCTTTGCTTTGGTGAAGCAGCGGAGTGCCCAGCTTCTCAATGCCTCAGCCTCCTCATCTGTAAAATAGAGAGAATAATTGTACCCACCTCTTGGGGTCTTGGGAGGATTAAGTGAGTTTCTACATATAAAGTGCTCAATAAATATAGCTTTAATTAATAAACATTAGCAATTTTCATTTTATTTCTATTGATGCACCAATGAACATTGTCCAATAAATAATTTTTATGACGTTGCCTGCCAATGCTAGAGGGATACAGATCCTCACATTCACCCAAGCTACTTTTCACTCTGAAGAAATCTTTCAAGGAATACAAATAATCTCAAACATTTTTTTTGTTGTTATAACAGTGCCAACTTTATCATGCTTGTGCATATCTGTTGTCACACATGGCCATTCCTGGCACTCCACATGTGCATAACGTCAGGTTTTCCTGTACCCCAGCAACAACTTGGTTGAGCTCTACAGTTGATCGTAGGTATTAAAAACTAAGTGTGAATGAGAAGAAATAAAACTTACTTCTTACTCCTGCAGTGCTGCAGTTCTTGGGGGCTGAAAATTATAGTTACATGCTTATTATAACACAATTAACTCCACAGTGCCTTGTTTTTTTTCCTCACATTTCAAAGGACCACATGTCTAAAGGGCTTTCTTCTCTTTGAAGATGGTAACATCATCACATTATACCTAAGTGCAGAACTGTGACAATGCCTCTTGCCCTGGCTGCCAAGAGTAATGTGTAGAGACACATCACAGTTGAAAACGGAGAATGGCCCCTTTATGGTGACTGGCTTGGAATTGTAAATATTTTTATTTCTCCCGTAGGAGATGGCTCGTGGAAGAGAGGAGACAAACATGACTTTGAAGCTAAGCAGGCGTACTCATCCCTCCAAACAATCACTCTACTGAGGACAGTGAAACCCGAGTTTGAGAAGTTTTCCATGGAGGTGAAAAGTTCTGTTGAGAAACAGGGGCTCAACGAGGAGGATTACGTAAGTGCTTGATTACGAGCCTAGACCTTCGGCATTCTGGAAAGTCTTCTAATTAAATCAGAGGTGACAAAGTGTCCCATTCTGAACCATTCAGAAATTCCTAGGTTCATGTCTGAATGTCACTGAGCTTTCTGTGTTTTTTTTTTTCTTTCTTTTTCTGGCCAGTTTCCTTCCCTCCCCGCCCCCAGCACCCCCCACCCATCACTTAGGCTTTTCCAACTGCGGCAGGAAGGAAAATTGCTTTATGCGGGTACTTGTGGTAATGCTGAGCAGATGTCTGTAGACTTCCATCACTTATTCAGCTAGGAGCATGTTGGGGGAGAAGATGGATGAACGAATGCCAAAGTTTTGCATACCTAATTTTTCCAAAGCTTGGTGGCAGAAGATATTTTGGGTTTTAGAGGGCTCTTTCTTCTGGCAGTTTGTCTTAGCTTTATGGCAAGTCTGCTTCTCTCTCGTGGCGGTGTCTTGCCCCTTTGGTTGCAAGCCGTTTCCTGCTCAGGTATTCCAGAGCTTCCCACGCAATTAGTGCTGTCATTACGGATTCATTTTCCAAAAGTGGATGAGCGTCAGAAGGTTAGGCCAGGCCAAGGATTAAACAGAAGGACTCATCTAATTGGTGGCACTGAAGACAGCCGACCACACCTTGCTTGGTGCCATTGTTTTGCTGCCTCTGGCACCTTTTGCTGTGCGGCCCCACAAAGCTCCGCGTGACAGAGCAGGATGAGCGGCGGGCCCCTCAGGCCTGTTGGGTAGGTGTGCTGGTTTTCAAAATCATTCACTGCATGGTGTCCGGAGCAGAACAGGAGCACCTTAATGACAGATATGTGATGTGGATAGTCCCTGCCCAAGGCGGAAAATGACCAGCTTCACAAGAAACGGTCACTTCCAAACAGGACCTCTCCCCCTTTCTTCACTTCAAGTACTGCAGGGTGCAGGCATTGGCCTCAGACGGACCTACATTCAGAGGCTGGATCCAGCACTTCCTAGCTGTGCGATCCCGGCCAATTTCTTAGTCTCCTTGATCTAAATTATCCCTCCCTGTTGGGAGGATTACAGATAATCTCTCTGAAGCATTTAGCATTATCCCTGTCAAAAAGTTGGAATCCAATAAGTGATAACTCTTTTATACTACTGTTATAATAGTATGCTTGTCTTTATAGAAATTTGCCACCAAACGACCTAGAAAGGGTCTTGTAAACATATTTATTAATGTCTTAAATATTATATATATTATACACACATCATTTAAAATACCTTTTGACTTTCTAAATCAGCACCATCCAGTAACATATGATGTGAGTCACAAGTGAGCCAAAGATGTAATTAAAAATTTTCTAGTTGCCACATTTAAAAACATTAAAATAAAGAGGTGAAATTCATTTTAATAAGATATTTTTATTTAATTCCCATATAAAAATATCATGTCAACATTTAATCAATGTAGATGTTAAGAATGAGATTATGTGTTCTTTTTATTGTATAAAGTCTTTGAGATCCAACATGATTTTACCCTTACAGCATATCTTCAGTTCAAGTGCTGGGTGCATGTGACTAGGGGCTACTATTTTGGACAGTGTGTTCTGAATTGTGAAAGAAGTAGGGCTTCTGCAATACAGCCTGAGTTTAAGGAAACCTGTGATAGTGTAGTCATCATCCAAATCCTTTGCCTTGGGATTCGGAAGAACACAAAAGGCATTGAGCTTCCTTTAGCAGTGCTGCCGAAGGTGTCACACAATATTGAAAACATATGTCACTGTATTATTTTACTATACTAGGCTCATATTAATTTTATGGTTTAAAAACTCTACAGTGCTGTCATTTTTGGTTGGCATCCTTCCTGAGGTTGTAGAAGTTCAAGTATTTCAGTGTAGGTTGTCCAACATAATGATACTCATTGGGCAAGAGCTGACATTCCAGCACGCTGGTGGGTCATTCTTTTTGGTTATCAGTTTTTCTGTGTTCAGAATATTAAATCTTATTTTAAGGGTAGTCTAAGAAAAATCTCATTGGGAAGGTATAACAACTATGAAGATCCATGATACATTCCAAACCTAATGCTTTATAGATTATTTGTAGGTGTAGATGACAATACCACTCTCTCTGTTGGTGGCCCCATTTAAAACTGACTTTATAAATAAAAGAAATGATAATTTTCAGTAGAAATTAGAGCTCGTTATAATGACTTACTGCAGTTGTGAAGATGTGTCTGTCTTTTGTATTTATGTGTGTTTTAGTTGGGCTCTGCTGAGTGCCAGTTGCAGATGTTTCATGAGGTTAGTTTGTCAGTTTATGTGGTGAGTACTGTAGAAGAGGGAGATATGGGAGCCTAAGAAGCAGGAGCTAGTGTGGCTGGGACTTGCACATTTGGTCAAATGCAGCAAGAGACACTTAAAAAGGCTAGCAAGACTTGGTGGTCTTCATTCTAGGGCTCGGCTCTTTTCTAGGTCTTTCTACTTTTCTTATTTGTACCGATGGATGTCTCATCGGCTTATTTAGAACTTAAGTTTGTGACAGCATGGGCTCTTCAGCCCCTGATATTGAATTCAAATCCAGAAACTCTGATGGACTCTCTGATTAGTTCTAAAATTCACCATGCATTTTCTCAACAGTCGCGTGACCTGTGAATAGTGACGAATTAGTTTCTTTTCAATTCTTCTCTTAAAGTATGCTTAATTAAAAGCATGCTTAATTAAGCATATTAAATTAAATTAAGTATAATTAATTAAACTAAAACTTTGATGGCATTGACTAGGATCTCAATATAGTATTGAATAGAAGCAATGATAATGGGCATCCTCGTTTTTAATTTTTATATGAAGAACACATAACAGATTTCATATCTGTTCATCTCACCATGTAAGCATAATGTTTGCTGTGGGGCATTTGGGAGAGTCTTTATGAGATTATGGAAATTCTCTTTTGTTCCTTGAAGTTTTGTTTTGGCAAAATTACACCTTTTATTAGGATAACTGAAACAAAAATAGTACCACAGACATCAAGGTTTATATAATGTAGGCTAAAGGAAGGCTTTGGTACAGGTTTTTATCATAGGCATTATAGATTGTATTATATCCCTGACACTAAGTCGTATTATGTTAGTATCACATTTATCATATTAGCACGATGGTGGCTTCCATGGAAAGGCTGTGATCTCAAAATGCAAAAATTTGAAACTTTAAAATTTTTATAAGGCTTTACTGAAACATTGAAAGGATGCAGTGACTATGATTTTTGAAATAAAATTATTCTATATTTTTAACTTACCAAATTTTGATGGATTAATGCAATTGTTTCCACAAAATTGATCTTTTCTCCCTTTCTCCCCTCTCTTTCCTCTCTACTCTCTCTTCTCCCTCCCTGTCCCACCCTCTCTCCCTTCCTCCATCGACACCTCTGGCCCTCCCTTTTTAAAATTGACTTTTTTTAATCTAGATAATTGCAGATTTACATGCAGTTTTAAGGTGCAATACAGAGAGATGGCTTGTTTGCATGCCCAGGTTCCCCCAATGGTAACATTTTGGAAATTATAAGATCGCAATGCAGATATTGACACTGATACAATGCACTGATTTCACTCAGGTTTCTTCAATTTTATTTGTACGTGTGTGTGTGTATGTTCTATGTAATTTGATCATCTGTGTAAGTTGAGGTGTTTGAATTTTATCAAATACTATTTCTATATCTCTTGAGATAATCAGATGGCTTTTTTTTCCTTTATCTGTTATAATGTAGTTTGTTGAATTACTAGATTTTTCTTTTTTTCCCTAGTTATACTGAGATATAATTGACATACAACATTGTATAAGTTTAAGGTGTACAATATAATGATTTGATATAGGTATATACTGAGAAGTGATTACCACAATTAGTTCAGTTAACATCCATCACGTTCCATAGTTACAAAATTTTTTTCTTGTGATGAAACTTTTAAGATATATTCTCTTAGTGCCTTTAAAATGTACAACACAGTATTGTTAACTATAGTCACCATGCTGTACGTTAACTCTCTAGAACTTATTCATCTTATAACTGTAAGTTTGTACCTTTTGACCACCTTCATTACTAGATTTTTCTAATTTTAATAATCTCTGCACTCCTGGCATAACTCTATTCTCTCTATACCTCAAGACTTTGAGCTTCTCTGTTTCCCAGGCTGTATTCTAGAGAATATAATTGTGGCTGAACCCATACATGCTTGCCTAGGTGGAGCTTTCCAGGCTGGGTCATCTCAAAGGCGATAGCAGCCTGTAGATGAACAGCTCTGGGCCAAATCTTTACTCCTGTTTCATTCATCTCTGGTGGGTGGTTGGGTGGGTGTCCCGACCTGCAGGACCTAGTTATTGCGTAGAACCCGAGGAGGACCGTACCTTGAAGAAAACATGGGCGGGAGAAAAGAATGGAGGCAAGACAGTATTCTGATCAAGCCTCAAAATTTTATTCAGCAGCAAGAGTATTTATACAGGGCTAACAAAGGGGGGCAGGGCTAGCTGGGCGGGAGAGTATCTGTCACAGGCTCATTGGTTCTTAGCTGGTGGGGTGAGGAGTGGTAAGGGTTAGAGGGAGTGGGAGTGAAGGAGGGAACTGTAACTCTGGGCTGGGCTGACTGCTAGGGGGCTAACAAGATGCAGGATGCAGATAAGGCCTCGCCTAGTCACAAGATTCTTTGTTCTTAGTTTTGGCTCCCAACAGGTGGGTGCATGTGTGTGTGATAGAAAATAAGATTGCTTAGGGATGGGCTATTACTGAGGCAGTGGGTGTTGCATGTACTGCAATGATCTAGTTATTAGTACATGTGTCTTGTGATACTGTCTCGACTATTTTTATAGGTAGTATGATAATTTTTTGAAATATTATCATACGATTTGGTGAACCAGGTGGGCACCTATTCTATTCTGATACATCATGTTTTAATAGGCCCCAGTGGCCACCACTGGAGATAGTATGGTCTAGTGGTTAACTATGCAGGCTAAGAGTTTCATGGACTTGACTCTGCCTCT